TTTTTTCTTGATTGAGATGTTATTGAACTTGTCAGAGAATTATCGAATGGTTGATGAGTCATTTGATCAAATAGTGCACTAGTAAGTTGTGAACAATTTGTATTCGATAGAGATTGATCAAGTGGTAGGTCTGATTGGTTTGAAGTCGATAGAGACAATATCAGCTGATGTTACAGGTCAATATCGTCATGATCACTATCAATATTTGAGATGATTAAAACATGATAAATTATTGAATTGATTAGAGTGCAATCGTTGTATAAGTATATCAGATATTTTTTTCATTTAATGTCACAATTGTATTAAAATGAAAAAATAGGGCATAATCAGTTAGTTGTTTAAATGAATAAGTACTTACTTACTATTTGAACAAACACTTTCTCTCAATTTCTTCAATTCGTTTTCAAACGTTATTTTAAGATTAATGGTTACCCTAGTGAATGTATTGAGCTAAGGGTATCTGAAAAAGCACCCTGCTACTAGTATGTCACAGCAACTTTCGGGTACTGAAGTACCTTAAAGTGCTTTTAGGTGTGTATAAGGTACTGGGGTGTGTACCCTGCTGAAAAGCGTCTAGTAAATGAGTACTTTAAGGTACTGATCAAATACTCAACTGGATACTATTGCACAGTATTTTTGGGTACCCTGTTACCAAAATTGCAGTATGTTGATGATCGAATCTAACCTTTGACTGGTTTCATTTTTATTTCTCTCAAAGCAATTTATGACATTTTTTTCGATTTAATTTAACTTAATTTTTCCAATTCTAAAAACTCAAGCAGGTCAAATTTCGGAATCTGATCGGATCTGAGTTAGTCGGATCTCCATCAGACCACTTTAGGGTAATCCTTTCTCAAAATACGATCGAGATCGACATGTTTTCAACTAGTAAATAGTCAAGAAGTAATCTAAAAAAATTAGTATGAAAAAATATTAATTTCTTATGTTTTGTCGAGTTGTTTATACGAAGCCGTATGTGCAAAAGAAAACGGTGAATGAACAGTTACTACACAGAACGCAACAAATCTAGGATACCCTGTAGAGCTGTCCTCAGTAAAAGTACAGGTGTGAGTACCCATACAAGTACTTGTTCAGTAAACCTACTGCTATCGGCACCCTAGGGTGTGGGCGAGCATCATCTCCCCATTTAATTACACTCACGCTCACACCCCAACCACATCCACGTCCACATCCCAACCACACCCACACTCAATGAAGTTTCAACCAATCATACGTTTACGATCCATGGGTCTTTTCTGTGTTACGTGTATTTCACATTAAAAAAATTCATTCATTTGATGTAAAAAATTTGAAATGCATTTGGATGTTTTTTTAAAATTATGTCTTCAGGACAATATTTTTTGCATCCATACACTTTTGAAATAGCAAATCTTTGCCAGAAGCGTTTATTTTGCCATTACATGGAGAGCGAAAAAAAAGAAAGTTGCACAACATGATGACATACGATTCTATATAAAATAGCAACAAAATGCCGTTACAAACGTTGACAGGTAAAGTTGTTCAATAGTCACAAACAATGGGCAACTGTCATCGTCGAACGAAAACTTATTCACATTCACCAAAGACGCTTTTTCGAGATAAAACTCTGAAAAACCGTTCATATTTATATCAGAACTCGAATACAAATACAAAAGTTGAAATGAAACACGATGAACCATTGGAAATAACATTTGAGGACTTTATTGATCATATTCTGCTCCTTCGCAAAGTGATCAGTCATCCAAGTCTGACACAAGATGGAAAGTTATTAAATGAGTATATTGATGAATATTGTCAAAAAATGGCTCGAGAAGAAATGGTAACTGATTATCAACGATCACAGCTCGCCTGGCCAATCCTGTGGATCTGGTACGTGCATCGTTTGCATCCATTTGCCTATCACAAGGATTGTACTTCACAACTTCCACATGGTAAACTTGTTGATCCAAAAGTACAATATTTTTTTTCAGATGTATCAACACACCGACCTCATCCATCATTTATTCCATCAGTGAATCTGACGAAAGCCGTCATTCGTCAAAGTACTTTTCTTGAGAAATTCACGAAACATTATCTTTATACAAGTGATTTACAAGAAATTAATCGCTCGTTCTTTCCGGGTATGGTGAGAAATTATATATCTTTTCTACGATTGGGTAAACAAAATTGTATGGTCGTTCCAACCTTTGACATAGATTTAATATGGCATACTCATCTAAGAAATCCTACACACTATCGGCAAACTTCGATAGCTCTATGTGGATTTGTTCTTGATCACGATGATTCGATCAAAGAGGATATTCTAAAAAATGCTTATAAAAACACAGCTAATCGTTGGTCTAGCACATACCATACAGATTACGGTGACAACGCAAGACAAAATTTTCGCAAAACATCGACATATACTCACTCCAGTGCAAATCCCCGATCATTTGTTTCTCCAGTACCCAATATGTTGAGCTCATTGCATGAAACCAGCTGTGATGGTGGCGACTGTGGAGGTGGTGGCGGCTGTGACGACTGTGGAGGTGGTGGCGGCTGTAGCGACAGTGGAGGTGGTGGCGGCTGTAGCAACTGTGGAGGTGGTGACTCTGGAGGAGACTAATTAAATATTTGAACTATTTGATAAAAATTCGAATCGCTTACTTTATAATTTACTGTAAAGAAGCATCTTAAGTTACGTTCAAATAATTAACCAAAAATACAAACAAATTCCCTATAAATATTGATGTTAATGGTAAAGTTTTTGGATGAAACGTTGCTTAGGGTGTCGGTGTGGGTGCGGGTGTGCCGGTGTGTCGGTGTGGGTGTAAGTGTGGGTAGGTCGGTGTGGGTGTGGGTGTCTGATAAGAATGTCCACATCCACACCCACACCCACCCACACCCTCAAGCATCTTTTATTTGTTACGGAAAAACACATTTTACAATCATACCGAAACGCAAGTAAAAATAAGTGATGAAAAAATGAATTAAATTATAAACAACAAAAAAAACTTTATTTATGTGATTTTCATGGACGTTCTTCCATCAGCAGTGAATCAACATTAATACAAATCATCACTAGAAAAAGATAAAGGGTGATCAGAAAGTTTCGACCCCTCTTACTAAATTGATATTTTTCAGGATGAACTTCTATATATATCATTGATGAAATTAAGTAGTTTTGTAGAGAAAGAGAAGAGCTATCATCTGAAAAAAAATATGTCGAAAAATTCAAGTATATGATGATCTTTTAGTCATTTTACGGTTCTTGAGTAAGATATTTTCACCTTACATTTTTTTTAAAAAATCACCAAAAATATCTTTTTCGATAAAATATACAAATTACATAGAAGTTTATCATTTACTTTTTAAAAAAATATTCAATAATCACGTTTTGTGATGCGTTGGCCTTGTTTTCGGACGACTGCCTTTAATCTTTTTGGAATACTGTCAATCATTTTCACACATTTTTCTTCACTAAAATTTTTCCATATATCAATAATTCTTTGTTTGACATTATGTAAAAGCAATTCGAATTTTTAATGAGTAGTAAATATTAGAGATCTGATTTCAATAACAATTATGACTGACATCAATGTTAAAGGCCACCAAAAACATTTACAGTGGAGAATGAATGTGCTATCATTGAGAGAAATTTATGGGTGGTCGGCAAATAAAATTACCACAGAATTGTGGACTTCTTACAAACCAAATAATATTAGCAGAAGTGGATTACTTTCGTTTGTTAAACGGACAATCAAGCGTGGTACTGTTCAAGATCGTCCAAGATCAGGAAGACCAAAATCCAAAAGAACGTTATTGAATATTGCAAAAGCTCGTAAAAGACATTTGAATGTACAAAATCGAGGACAACGAGCAACAGCTGAAAAATTGAACATGTCTCAGCCATCAGTTCAATATATTTTAAAACATGATTTAAAATTAAAACCTTATCACAAGACACGTGCATCGAGAATTACCAAGGAACATGCTGAATCAAGATTAAACAGCGCAAAACAATTACTGAAAAAATATGGAAGAAGTCGAAGATCTCAATTTTATCAATGGGACAAAATGGTGATCACAGATTTCTGTGGTAAGATAGGAGTCCGACAAAAGCACAATAGCAAGAATTTTGTTTTTTATGCACTCGATAATAAATCAATACCAAGTGAATTATTCTATGCATATGAAGAAAAATTTGAGAAGGGGTTTATGTTATGGGGTGGATTAACTAGCCGAGGTTTAATTCCGGAATCACCATTATTTATCGATGAATTTCTTAATGGATATGAATGGAAGAAGGGTGAAAAGAAGACAATAAATGCCACTCGATATATTGATTTATTAGAACAAGTTGTACCTGCAATGGAACAATTATTTCCTGATAATGATTATATTTTCCAAGATGATACATCTCGTATTCACCGTACACCTCCTGTTCTGAAATTTGTGGAAGAAAATATGCCACAACGTATTGACATTAATGATCAAGCTGTCAAGATGGATGATGTATGGCCTATTGAAAACTTATGGAGTATTATTCGGAATGATTTATCTAAATATGAATTTAATTCATTACATGATGTCAAACAAAGAATTATTGATATATGGAAAAATTTTTGTGAAGAAAAATGTGTGAAAATGATTGACAGTATTTCAAAAAGGTTAAAGGCAGTCGTCCGAAAACAAGGCCAACGCATCACGAAACGTGATTATTGAATATTTTTTTAAAACGAAAAATGATAAACTTCTATGTAATTTGTATACTTTATTGAAAAAGATATTTTTGGTGATTTTTTAAAAAAAATGTAAGGTGAAAATATCTTACTTAAGAACCGTAAAATGACTAAAAGATTATCATATACTTGAATTTTTCGACATATTTTTTTTTCAGATGATAGCTCTTTTCTTTCTCTACAAAACTAGTTAATTTCATCAATGATATATATGGAAGTTCATCCTGAAAAATATCAATTTAGTGAGAGGGGTCGAAACTTTCTGACCACCCTTTA